TTTTTCTCCGGTACCAGGAACCGAACTCACGACCTTGCACTTGCCAGGCAGGCGCTTTTGCCGCTGAGCTAAATCCCCAGCCCCTAATAGTTCTTTTGTTGAGGAGTAAGGAAAGCATTGCCAAACCATTGGAGCCAAATTGTAAAGAACAATGCCTGTAAAGTTCAAGAATATGGACTTGGAAATTATCAAATGCTTTGAATCAAGAAAGTTAATGAGATAAAAATGGCATTATTGGAAAATGAACCTGGCATTCAAATGCAGAACAGATTAGAGGGAGTTAAATTGGAGGCAAGAACTTGGGTCCTATTTTTTCATAAAATCTACAATTGCTGATAATGTAAATTACATTAAATTTTATCTTTGAAGAAAGGAAACAAAGTATACCTCTTTTGTGTGTCACCACATACTTCGTATTCCTTTGTTTAATCATTTATAATATTTTAGATGTCTTTGAAAGGAATAATTACTTGGTGGTGCTCTTATTTTTTATACAAATCCTTTGAATTACCTTTAATTACAGTTACTCATCAAGAGCCAGAAGAAGAGTGTACTTCACAGACTCTGAGCCAGGGAGGTGATGACAGATAATGATCAGATTAACTGCAAGGAGGGACGCAGCTCAGTGGTAGAATATTTAACATGAGGCTCTGGGTTTGATCCACAGCACTGCCTCCATCTAAAAGCAAACAAACAAAACAACAGAAAATGTTTTCTGGCCCTATTTTCTACTTACGGACTAAGAATTTTAATAAGCATCTCAAGTAAAACGACTTACAGTTGTTTAAGAGATTTTGGCACTAAGAAGTTATACTAATGCACATAAAATAGCCCTTCAAAATCATTAATGCTATTTGAAGTTAGACCTCTGTGTTCTTTTGGCACATTTTGTGTCTTATGATTTTGAATTGTTGACTAAAAGTTAAAATTTGATGTGGGGCTGGGGATATAGTTCAGGGGCATAAATGCCTTCCTAGCAAGCGCAAGGTTGTGAGTTCAATCTCCAGTACTGCAAAAAAACATAAAATAAAATAAAATTTGATGTGTAGTTAGATTTGCCATAATTGTCGAAATAGCTTTTGGCAAACATATAATAATGTAAATACTTGACTGCAGTTGCAGTCAGTTCTCAGTTAGCCAATACCTATAGGGAATCCTGCTGCATAAAAATATATCACTTTTTTAATATTTATACTTGGATTTGAATTTTTTTGGGAATTTTCTAACTCCATTTAGGAGGGTGGTTATCAGAATTTTAAAAAAATTTATGCAGTGATGAGTTGAATTCCTGTGAATGTCAAGTGCTTTTCAAGATCTGTGTGAAAAAAGAATGAAGCTCCCTGGGCTTGATGAAATACACCTGTAATCCCAGCACTTGAGAGGCAGAGGCAGGAGGATAAGCATGAGTTCAAGGCCAGCCTGGGCTACATAAGCCTGCACTACATAGTGAGACTCTGTCAAAAAAAAAAAAAAAAAAAAAATGAAGCTCTCTCCTGACTTTTGTATTTATTGAAAACCTCTTAATTTTGCTAAGAATCATTTCCCCAACACAAGAAAAATAAGGATGATACTATTCTATCCAGAGTTGTTGAAAATTAGATAATACTTGTAATGGTCTTTGTAAATTATAAAGTGCGACAGACTTTATGCAAAATATTGTGTGACTTTGTGTCTTTTATCTTCTAGAGCAATACTAAAAGTACGTTTTTTTGGTCAAGCTAACTTTGTCTTGTTTTCTAGATCTTTATTTTGTGTCAGTAAGTAATCCATAAAGTGCCAGCATGGGAAAGAAACGGACAAAGGGAAAACCTGTTCCATTTGATGATTCTTCTGAATCTTTAGGTATACTTCATTAATTGAATCTTTATCATTTATATCTCTAAATGGATATTTTAATATATAAAAATGGGATAAAGTGTATTTTGTTATGTAATTTGCATTTTAGTGTTATGTCCACATGTCATTTATTGGCCTTTTATAGCATTTTTGATAGCATATTATTTCATTGATATAAAAGACCATGTGTGCATATTTCATAGCTTAGTTAATCCTCTGCTGTTACAAATTTAGATAAGATTTAACTGTAATTTTACGAATGAAATAAAAATGAACATCTTGTTGCTGTCTGTGCACATCCAGTTCTTTTCTTGATACAGGCAGTGTTTACTCAGGATCAGATTTTTATTCCGATACTGAGCAGATGTTACTTCCAGTGCTAAATTTTTGGTGGCGTTAGCCTTCTCTTTGATGCTACAGTATGTTTGGTAGATTGCTGTACATTAATCAGCTCTGAACTACTCAGAGAGAATATGAACTACTTAAAGAGAAGAGGTGTGTCTTGGTCACTTTTAAGTCCCCTGGCGTGTAGCCTGTTGCCTGGCCTGCAATAGGTGTATTGTTGACTGACTGAAGAACTTTCTCTTCAACCCTTTTCAGATAAAGAGGATCAAAAATATGATAAATGGTCTTACTTTATAGAAAATGGCAAATAAATTGAAGTGAATATTTAGGGGTGATGATGATTCTATATAGGACTTTAAACAAGCAAAAGTTTAAATTGTATGAAGTCTCTTTCTCAGAGGCTGGGAGTATATATAGGTTGGTGGTAAAGGGCTGGCAGAGGGCTACTTGCCTAGCATGTAGAGGGCCCTAGATTTACTACTTATTATCACCAAAAAATGAAACATAATTATCCCATTATATTTAAATATCAGATTTTATTGTAATAATCTAAAACCTGGCTCATACAGTAATTCATTTTTGAAATTTGAATGATAAATTCATTCAAATGAAGGATAAATTTTGACATCAACCAAATAAAAAGCTATTTTTGACTCCATGTATTTTCTGTTTTAATTATTTTAATAGAACTTATGTGCAGACACATTAGAAAAGGATTGGAACAAGGTAATTTGAAAAGGGCTTTAGTGAATGTGGAATGGAATATTTGCCAAGACTGTAAGATGGACAATAAAATAAAAGATAAATCTGAAGAAGAAACAGAAGAAAATCCTTCAGTTTGGCTATGTCTTAAATGTGGCCATCAGGTATGCTTAAATTTTGCTCAATGTGATATTTTAGAAAGCTCTTTGAACTTGTTTTATTTGGAAACTATATCTAAATGTGTTTAATGGCTGACTAACATGTCTGCTGGTATAGGTCCTATTCTCTGGGGAACTGATTCTGAGACTGACATTTGTGTACTGATAGTTTATTGGGGAGTGTTCTCAGGTACCACACCAATAAAAGCTGGGGAGCACGAGTAAGCAAAGAAATTGCGTGAAGAAGCAGTTGGAACAGTGCCTTAGCTGATGGTACAGTGGCCTTTGAGAGATGTTCTGAACTGAGGCAAGGGACCAGGTCTTTCTTCCTGTGCTTAGACTAGTTGAATGCAGTCTGCACTTGGACCGGTAGTAACTGGAGAGGAAGCAAACCAGCTAGCTCCCTTTCATGAAGGGTACTTCCTGGTGGAGGATTGCCTACGCTTTGAGCTTGCATCAGGCCTCATTTCAGGCTGCTGTGGTGATTGAATACTTTGGTCTTGTGGGATGAGTGGGTTTCTCCCTACTCTACCAGTTTATGGGTATCACCATGGTCAGGACTGTCAGTGACCCTTAGTGCTGGCAGTTAAGGAAACTAGACTACCGGGCAGTCTTGTCATGAGCTACAAGATAAGGCACACAGCCAGTATTTTTATTAATATTTTTTTAAGTTGAAAAATTTTATTGAGATAGTTATAGATATACATACATTTTTAAGAAATGATACAAAGATCTTCCTATACATTTTTCCCAGTTTCTCCCAGTGATGTTTATAAAACTAGTACAGTATCACAACCAGGATTTTGACATTGATACAATTCACCAATATCTCTTTTTTTTTTTTTGGTACCAGGGATCGAACTCAGGACCTTGCGCTTGGCAGGCAGGCGCTTGTGCCGCTGAGCTATATCCCCAGTCCCTGCTAATCTAAAGTACATCTATTTTTCTCTTCCTTTGTGTCTATGTAGTCTATTTGTGTATAACATTCTTAACATTTTGTCATCTGTGCAGAGTGGTCTTCACCACTACAGTAAGGATGTTTAGAGTTCCAGGAACACATAGATCACTTTTGCTGCCCTTTTATAATTATACCCACAGCCCTGCTGCCAGCCCTCTCCCTAGGCCTAAGCGTTAATCTGTCCTCTGTTTCTAAAAGTTCATTATTTCAAAAATGTTATATAAATGGGTTCATACAGTATGCCACTCTTTTAGTTTGGTTTTTTTGAAACAGGGTCTCAGTTATGTATTTCAGGTGGCCTTGAACTCACTATGTAGTCCAGGCTGGCCTTGAACTTATGGCAGTCCTCCTGAGTGCTAGGACTACAGGGGTGTACCATTATGCCCGGCAATAACAAATTTTAATTCATATATTTTGAAGTTAAATGTTATGTGGGGTAAGTTAAATCAGTAGTGAGTGTTTGATACTATAATTCAAGAATTAGAAGCCACTGATATTTATTTCTCCCTGAATGTATAAATTTAGCTGTAGTAGAAAGTGAACCAGTTATTACAGTGTAGTCCAACATTTGATCACCTGGTTCAGAGAAATACACAATAAGATGTACTTCTTACCAGGGATCTGACTAGCTGAGGCAAAAAAACCTCTTTCGTTTTTTTAATGAGTAAGCCTATACACCTTTTAGGTGATCAGTTTCTTTGCCCGTTGGATAGATTGTTCAGTCAATGCTTGTTGGCCAGTTCCTAAAAGATGCTAGATCTTTTGGTAATAGAATAATTCTATTAATTTGAGACTTTGAGATTTATAGTCTGTAGGAGAAAGGGTATGAATTTTAATACAAAATAGAAAATAAGAGCTGGGTGTGATGGTGCACGCATGTAATCCCAGCACTCGGGTGGCTGAGGCAGGAGGATTGCTGTGAGTTTGAGGCCAGCCTGAACTACAAAGTGAATTTAAGGCCAGCCTGAACTGCACAGTAAGATGTTGTATCAGAAAAAAAAAAAAAAAAGGAAAAAAAGAAAAGAAGGACTGCTATTAGGAATTTATGCTTTGAAGGAATTTGTTTACAGAAAGATTACAGTATTTTCTCATCGGGGAGAATAAGCACTGGCTTCTGGAATAGGATGGCTTTGAAAGTCCTGAAGAGGAGGTGGGATTTGGTCAGGTGGCATTTGTGATAAGGGATACCAGGACAGATGGACTAACATGAACCAAATCCTATAGTTGTGAAAGTGCTGGGTGGGTTTAGCTTGTAGCTTGCACGTGGACAGGCGATGTAGAAGAATGGGGCAGTTAAGCTGGAAAGACAGGCTGGGGATGGAAGGTATCAGTTTAGTCTCTTAAGAACAGAGCTTTCTTTTAGGAGCATTGAACTGAAAAATTTGTTAAGAATGACCAAAGTTCTTGAGGTACTTCTGTCCTCGTGACAGATGATGAATTCTCTGCTTTGGTGAAGTTTGTGATGGCGGTTTTTGTTCATGATTCTCTAGGGTTGTGGCAGGAATTCTCAGGAGCAGCATGCCTTGAAGCACTACATGGTTCCAAGATCCGAGTCCCACTGTCTGGTTCTTGGCTTGGACAACTGGAGTGTGTGGTGAGTTTCAATCGTGCACCCTCGGGTGGAAGTTATATGAAATATCGGAGAGTGAAATTGTTTGAGAATGTTTAAGAAGAAAGGAAGTTAAATCTCCTTTAGTATTTGTGTACCATCAAAGAAGGTGGAGGACGTGATATTATGCGGTTTAGCTTGGTACTGTACAAACAAAAATATTTGCATAGCTAGTAAATCGGGCATAGTGCTGCCCACCTGCTTAGCAGCATACTGGGAGGCTGAGGCAGAGGAGCTCGGATTTGAGCAGAGCCTGGGCAACTGAGCGACTTAGTGAGACCACGCCGGAAAATAAAAGGATCAAAAAAGGAATGTAGTTCACTGTGAAGGTCCTGCATTCCAAATGTTGGAAAAGAAAAGGAAAAGAAAATAGAAAAGTAATGGCCAGAGATAGTGAACATTTTTGTCATGTATTTGTTGGCCATTTGTAATTCTTTTAAGAAGTGCCTATTCCAGTTGCCCATTCTTTGATTGGATCTTTTATTTGAAAGGGGTCTAGCTTTTTTTGCGTTCTTTAGGAATTCTAGGCATTAATCTTCAACGAATGGCTGGCGATTTTTTTTCCCATTCTGTACTTATCTCTTCATTTTATAGGTTGTTTCCTTTACTGTGGAGAAGCTTTTTAATTTGATACAATCCCGTGTGTTGATTCCTGGTGTTCTTGTACAATTGAGGGTTCTGTTCAGAAAGTCCTTGCCTACAGCTATGTCTTCTAGAGTTTTACCTCTTTTATCTTCAGCAGATGAAGAGTTTCTGTTCTGACATTTAGATTTCGTAAAACCCTCACTGTTTTTGCAGCTTACAGTAGCTGTGGGCATTTCCTGGGGCTAGTGCTGCTGGCCCAGTGCCTTGTTTCTCCTTGGAGCTCCCAACCCTAGGGGCTGACCTTGTGTCTGCAGAGACAGGTTCCTGTCCTTGGAAGCCAGGCTGAGTTTCTGCGCTGCTTCTTTCTTTTCTCTGCACTGTGCTCCATTTCTCTACCTTCCCTGTAGCTTCTAATTTTCCTGTCACTTCCCTCCCAATTCCCAGAGATCTGCTTCTTTTTGCTCTTTGCCAGGTTGTTCTTTTCCAGGCATCAGACTCCAGGTCATGCTGATGCTGTATTTGCTGCTGACTGCTGCTCTGCCATTTTATTTGCCTTTAGTGTTTCTTTTTTTTTTTTTTTTCTCGTTTTGGTTTTTTTCCGGTACCGGGAATCGAACTCACGACCTCACGCTTGCCAGGCAGGCGCTGTGTGGCTGAGCTAAATCCCCAGCCCCTGCCTTCAGTGTTTCTGATAGAATAACTTGGCTTTACACACTTTGGGTTCTGGGAATTATTTTTTTGCCTGTCCCTTTTTAGTTATCAGTTTGTCACTTTTCTTCTTTGATCATTTGGGATATAGGTGTTACCTGTGTGATACTGAAGTCCAGTATTGCAGTTCAAGC